TATTAAGTTTAAGGTAAGGAGAAGGTCTTGTTATTAGCTAAATTTATTAAGTAAAGATAACTATTAAAAAAGCTAGTAGATAAGTATTTTAGACCTTTTATAGTAATATAAGTAGTTACTAATAAAAAAGCTTATAAGCTAGATATAAAAATAAAGTACTATATTTATAATATATTTTTACTATCCTAACTAAGAAAGTTTAAGAAAGCACTAGTAAAACCTTAGCTTATTTAAATTAAAAAAAAAATATATATAAAGTAAACTAAATAGTAATATATAAAGGACTATAGTAAAATAAGTAGTACCTTATTAAATAAAAAAGATATAGTAAAAAAAAATTTATAAAAGCTATAAAAAAATATATCTAAAGATTTATAATAAGACTATAAGTAAGAAGTTACTAAAGGGGTATAAAAAAACACTAAGTAGAAGTAAGTACTTAGCCTAAAAGGCTAGATTTTTCTTATTATTTTTTAGTATTAAGGCTAAAAAGTATATAGCCTAAAGGCTAAGTATTTAAAGCTTATAGTAGCTAAAAAAAAAAAATAAAACTAAGAGAGGGCCTAAGGAGAGGGGCACTAAGGAGGTAGTAGTGCTTACTCCTCCTTTTTATCCTTACTTTTACTAAGCGTACTAAAGGCTATATTACCTCTAGACTAAAAGTTAAGGTTAGTAGTATACTAAAATAAAAGTTAGTAACTAAAAAGTAGTAAGAGGTTACTAAGAGGAAAATAATATATAACCTAAAAGTAAGTAGTAGCCTACTTAAAGAAAAAGGCGCCTTAGGCCTTAATAACCTTAGTCTGCTCCTTAAAGAGTATATTTTAGTACTAAAGCGCTATAGTAGCTACCTTAGCTAACTTAGCTAGGGAGGTAGTAGTAGTAGTAAAGGCCTTAAAGGCTATAACCTTATAGCTATAGAGAAGCTACTTCTTTTTTTTAGCCTTAGCCTTACGCTTAGTGTTAGAGGCCTTAGTAGTATTTACTTTTTTTTAAAAAGCTTTTTTAACTATAGTTTAAATAGTAGTAACCTTTTTTTATATAAGGGGTTAGTTAGGGAGTAGTTATAAGGCACTAAAAAAGATATACCTTATAGTAGTAGTAGTTAGTATATATAGTACTATTATAATAAAAGGCTTTAAAGATATTCTTAAAAGTAAAAGTAGTAAAAGTTATAGTATAAGTAGCTTATAAGGAGTTAGTAAGAGGTTACTAAAGTACTTTTTACTAGTAAAAAAAAATAATAATATAAAAATACTTATATAAATATACTTTTTACTATATATTTTAGTATACTAAAAGTACTTATTACTAGTAGCTAGTAGTATAATTAAGACTAAGATATAAGTAAAAAAAGGCCTTTAGGGGGTATTAAGGTATTAGATACTTACTAGTAGTCTTAAGGTAGTAAGAAAACTTAGCTTTAGTATTAGCTATATTTATATACTAAATAAATATAGCCTAAAAGTAGTAGTAGTATAAAATAAAATAAACTATAGTGTAGTTATTTTTATTTTTTTTATTTAAAAAGCTAATAGACTAAAGAGGTAATAAAAAAGTAGTAGTAAGGCCTTTAGTGCCCTTAAAGGTAATAAAAGTAGTAGTATTAGTAGTAGTAGTAATATTAGTAAGTATAATAGTAAATATAATAGTAGTAATAAAAAAGCTAGTAGTATTAGTACTATTACTAGTACTATTACTATTACTATTACTACTAAGTAGTAATAGTAATAATAGTAGTAAAAAAAATAATAATAATAATATAAAAGTATTATAAAAAAAAAAATAAGTAATAAAGAAATTAATAAAAACCTAAGTTAATTTAAATTACTTATTTTAAGTTAGTATTAAAAAAAAACTAGTTATAATAATAACTTAAGCCTATAAAGTTAAGACTAAATAAGCCTTAGTAAGAAAAGCTAGCTAAGACTAAAAAGTTACTAGTACTAACTATAAAAAGTAAAATAAAGATTTTTTTTTATTATAAAAATAGTATAACTTAAAGCTTAATAAATAGTTAATAAAAAAGCTAAATATTATAATAATAAGAATAATAAAAAGTATATAGTACCTAAAAAAGTATAAAGTCTAGTTAATAAAAAGTATTAAAAAGTATTATAAGTAAATAAGGTGTCTTTATTATAAAGTAAGTAGTCTTTTACTAAGTAAGGTAATATAAGACTTATACTTTAAGCTAGAAGACTAGACTATACTAAAAAGGTAGTAGTTAAGGCCTAGCTAGAACGTAATAGTATAAAAGTAAAGCTAAAAGTAAATAGTTAGCTAAAGTAATAACTACTTATCTAGTAGCCTACTAGGCCTAGTAGGCGTTCTTAGATATCTCTTAAGATACTAGAGAATAGGCATAAAGCGTAAGGCTTAGCTATTAGATAGTCTAAGCAGCTAACAAGGGGACTACTAGTAGGTAGCTAGCTTAAGGCCTTAAGAGATCAGGAGTTAGGCGTAAGGCTTAGCTATTAGACAGTCTAAGCAGCTAACAGGGGGGCCACTAGCAGATAGCCTGCTTAGGGTCCTAAGGGCAGGACCTTAGAGGGGGGGGATTATGTTAGGTGCCCAGAGCAGGGCCCCAGGGGGGCACCAGAGTGGGACCAGGACCAGATAAACTAGTCACCAAAGAAACAACAAAAAGAGAAAACTCTATAGAAGATAGGGGTTAGAGGAGGCATATTAGAATAATCGTCACAATTAAACCCTAACTACGCCTATTGCTAACTCCTTTACTTGATACCATCCCCGCCTCTAACACATATCACTAGCTTTAAACCCACTTTCGTCCATATCTAATTGCCCATTACTCACTAATTAACAACCTCGCCATGCACTACACCGAAATGCACTGCCGCTGGCCTACGTATCAAAGAGGCGCCCCGGTTGAAAATGGGAAGACATCCACCGCGCCTGTCCGTCCGCCTTGCCTCAATGCCTTCTTCTGTCTGTCTCCATTACATTTCTTTTAAACTTCCGCATCTGCGTCACCACGACATGTTAAGCTTTATCCTCTAACTGCTTGCTAGCAACTTAAGTCCATCTGCCGATCCTCCATAACAAGCCTGGAACAAGCCTGAGATGTGACAGAGTACACAGCGCTAATACGAATCTAATTCTTACTGCCGACTATATAGGTCTCGAACGTTTGATCTGGTCTTCCTTATTCAGTTGAAGCCGAAGCAGACCCTGAAGTAATTCGTCATTATTCCACTTGCGCAGGGCTTTGCCCTTCCACTTCTCCCACCCTTCCCACGTTTCTTCTTCAAAGCTAAAGGCCATTTTAAGTCCCACAAAGAGATCTAAAAGGGCTTGTCAGTCTAAAGGACTTTCGGGGCCCAGAGCAAAGAAGAATCTCTAGACCTTTCTACCAAGAAGGACACAGTTCAAAAGGTCTTCACAACCCCTCTCCTAGAAGATTTCCACTAGCCGCTTTTCATCTAGAGTCAACTTATTGGAGCCTTTATAGAACTTCCCTAGCGGCCATATTATATAAGGCGAGCTGAAAGCCTCTAGCTTTAAGGCAGTCCGGGTCCACTCCCAGTCTATAATTCTAACGATATCGTAAGATTCATTAATAAGGATGTAATCGCCCTTATTATCTAGATGCTTAAGGAAAAATTGCCCCCCTGCCGGCTCATCTTCCCAAAGAGTGTTAACAATATCTAGACAGAAACAATACGTAAGGTAAGTGTCTACCAAATGGTAGGCACCAATCTCGCCGCTAGCTATCATCATGAGATATAACTTAACCATATCAACTAACCCTTCTAGCAACAAAGTGAAAGGACTAAGCGGCCTTTTAGACTCTATTATGTATGTTACGTGTTGCACAAAGCCTTACACTACAAACTTAGTAGGGCCTAAAATAGTAAGGAGCAACCCCAAAGCTTCAAAAAGATGTCTTTCTATTTCCAGAAACACATCTACCAGCTATTACATAACTTTCTCTCTCTATGTTAGATTTGCCGCTTGCCAGACTAGGGGCATTCCATCAAGCTTCTCCGTAAGGATGTAGCTAACTCTAATTTAGTTTCCCAGGTCAGACTCACAGGCCCAGTCAAAGATTTTAGGAACTAGAATGCTAGTGCAGTCATACAGATAGGTTAGAGTGCTTGCTTTAGATCAAAGAATAAAACCACAGACTTCTTCTAGTAGTAAGGTAGTCCTAGTAAGACAAAGACACGCTAGCCAAATAATTCTATCTTTAAAAATAACCTCAGCATAACAGTTTTAGTGTCCCATCATAGAAGAGAGGTGCTTACAGGACAGGTTAACAGTGCATTAGATGCCGTCCCTTAGTTCTAATACCCTTAAACGTAACTTAGAACTATCTATTCAATCACATAGCTTGTCTATATAACAGGCTTCAGTAGCCGCATATTAAGCAGAGAAGGATAGCCAGTTTTTCTAAACGTAATAGACATAAGCTATATGTCAGGACATACTATAGAATAGGGATTACAGACCTCTAGACTAGGGCATTTGTAGAACAGTTCTAAAAGATGTTTGCTACAAAGGTGTTTATCGCAACACAGACAGTAGCCTTCTCTTTAAACAGCCGGATTTAAACACTTTTCAAAGTCGCACAACCACAGAGGCATCGCAAGAGTTATGTGTCAAGAAAAGCTTGGTCAGTTAAGGATGCAGAGGGAATCAGGAAGATGGTGATGAAGGGAGAAAATGATAAGGTAATTAGCATCAAGCTCAAACCCCCAAAGCTTAGTCACTACCTTCTGACTAGGCCCTTGTCATCCTCACGTGTTGAGACTTGCATCTGGCCACTTGAACGAGCTCCATCTAGCCAATAACAACTCTATTACAAGCGCCTAGAATTCTCTCGGCTGTTTGATTGTTTCTTATTGTTGTGCCTGTGGTAGCGAGGCCGTTTAGAAGCTTGTTGTCACGAGCGCCCGCAGTTTTATCCCCCTACTCTAAGACCATCAAATACAGACACCATCTTTTTAGAATCACCCACCAACAGACAACCCAGAATGGCTCCCAGTGCTACAGAAGTATGCCATGGGGGCGAGCCCAGAGAGAACTCGCCCCTGGAGCCCATAGCTATCAATGGAATGGGTATGTCACCTCCACCACAGTCGCTCACGTTCTTTTCAAACGCAATCCTAGCCGTGGTGTCACTTGCTGATGCTTCATTACATAGGATGCCGCCTACCCGGACAGGTCGACTCGGAATCATCATTCTGGCAGACGCTGGTCGAGAAACGCACGGGTCAAACTCCCAAAGCCCCCGAGAGTCGTTTCGACATTGACGCTCACTACCACGAGAGACTCGACAGGCCTGGCTTCTTCAACGTTCCCGGAGGCCATTTCCTGGACGGGCACCCCGAGAACTTTGACCCGACATTTTTCAATACCACCCCGGTTAAAGCTCAGTGGCTGGACTCCCAACAGCGCAGGACACTCGAGATGTGCTACGAGTCGCTGGTCTCGGCCGGCATCACTTTGGAGCGCATCTCGGGGTCCAACACAGCCGTCTTCGTGGGATCGATCATGGCTGACTACCATACGTAGTTCTTGACACACCAGTCGGGACTCTTTCACGCCATCGTTCGAACTGACAAATAGCAACATAAAAAAACGAAGAAACGTAGAGCAAATGTCAACATGGAACACTGACTTTTGTCACAACTGCGCTGCAACCGGCGTGGACATCAGGATAATCAGTAATAGAATCGGACACATGTTTAACCTGAGAGGACCCAGGTTCGAGTTTCTTTTGCTACCCCCCGCCTTGCTAGACAGCAAGACTAAACAGACAAAGAGCCAATGCTTTCTGACGCCTGCGCTTGAAAACAGCTTCACAATCAACACGGCCTGTTCATCTTCCATTTACACGATCAACGACGCCTGTCGCGCCCTTCGCATGCGGGACTGTGACGCTATAATCACGGCGGGCTTCAACCTGATCAAGAAGGACGACCAGCACATGAACACGGCCAAGCTGGGCATCCTGTCCCCCAAATTTCACATGCCACACATTCGATGCTTCTGCGGATGGCTACGCTACGGCAAGGTCGAAGGGGCCGGGACGCTGTTCTTGAAGCGCCTTTTGGACGCTATCGGGGATGGCGACCCGATCGGAGGGGTCATCCGCTGCTCGGCTGTCAACACGTAGGTGTACCTCACAAATTACTCGGGCCTATCCGTGGACGAATTCGGGAGTAGCTGGCATCAGCTTATCAAGGACTTGTTTTTGCCCTTTTGAATGAGTCCTGTGACTGCACATGGTCGAGAATGACGTTGAAAACAAGCGCTGACTCAAGTACGCGTATACATAGTACGTGACTGGGGGTATATGTGATAGGCAATAGCTATAGCAACGACGGGATCGATCTCCCAAAGAGACCCTTGCTCCATAACGCAATCTCGGCTAATCTTAACAAAGCTTGTTCGACCCGGCCGACTTAGGCAAGTGGTTATCAGTTGGAGCACATGCGCTCCGATCGGACAGGGACGCCCGCGGAACCAAATCTGCCCCCATTGGCTCGGGCGCGAGGATATATTCCACGATATCTCCACCTTCCCTTTATCGATGTTTTCCCCCTCGAGGACATGGGAGCGGTCTCCCCAGTCTGTTGCTTCCCGATGCGTGTTCAACACCGCGCTCGGGTGCAACCTTGCGGTGGAAGCCCCCACGATGCCGTCAGCACGATAAGCCGCCGCCGGCAGTTGCACCGAGGGCGGAGGGGTCTCTGCTCCATCATGGGCCGCTGGGCTGGCGCGTATAAGTAGATCGAAGGCGACCGCCCCAGTAGACGTTGCAGTCGTGGCACCTCTCGCGCTCTCTGTCTCTTCAGTCTCGTCCGTCCGTCTGTCTGTCTCTTCTGTCGCCCGAACTCGCACCGGCCCATCTGCGTTTCGTCCGCATTCCGTTCCCCGAGACATATCAAATAAACAACAACAACAACAACAGACCGAAGCAGCCATGAGATTCGCGTCCATCCTCGCCACGGTCGCCGCCGTCGCCTCGGCCGGCGTCTCCGCCGCCCCCCTCGAGCCTCGCGCCTCGACCTTCATCGAGGTTCCGCTGCCGTCCCCCCTGAACTGGATGGCCGGCAGGTCGCTCTTCCCGAGCCAGGTCATCGCCTCGTACAACGCCGACATCGGCGACTACACCTCCGAGACCTGGGCCGCCCACGTGTTGGAAAAGTGCAAGACCTTCACGGCCTGCACCTCCAGCATGACTTTCTCGGGTACGCGCCCTTCCCCTTCCGCTCCGTCGCCTCCTCCTTTCCGTTTGTGATCTTGTGAGACTCCGACGTCCGTCGTGGCGTCCGGAGGAAGGGAACATCCCCCGGCTGACGTGTTTTCGTGATACTCTGCAGGCATCAACAGCGGCAGCACAGGCGGCCGTTACTGGTTCGGTTATGTCTACAGAGGCGGTGCCACGACGGTGGACGACTACGAGCGCGACGATGCGGCGGAGGACGGCATTGCGGACTCGGTAGCGTACACCATCACTGCCTAGTACGCAGGCGCACCTAGCATAGCGAAGGACCGGGAGGGCGTAGTAAAGCCTCGTGATAATACCCAATAGTAGTAGTACCTAATAGAGCATGAGAATGGCCAAACGCGACCACCACCCGCAACGCTTGGTTCTGGTGCTGCCCATGTCGAATAACTCGTCGTCCCAAGGGGTCTCATCAGCCATGAGTCGATTGATACGCCACTGTGTGGAGCAGCGACTGGGCCGGGAGCCGTATGATCCTTCTGTGCAGTAGACGCTCCCAGAATGAGAATGCCGCAGTTGTATATCGAGGTTTTGCGGAGGTTCAACATTTCGCCTCATGAATCGAGGACAAATAGGCCCTTGATTTCTCGCAGGGCCTTTTCCAAGCCTGTCGGGGATACTTGAAAAATAAAGATAAAAAATAGCCAAAGTGGCCTATCTAGGGCAGCCGCCGGCGAGCCCGTGCCTTCGTCTGATCCCCGTCGGCAAAGAGCTGCGCGAGTCAATTCGCCCATCGTGCATGGCAACAAATGGCGCGGCAGGAAATGCGGACCGGCAGGGCGGGCTTGGCGTTCTGTGTCCGTAGTATGTAAAGTTCGCGGGCCAGTCGTCGATCCGGCCTACCAAGCCCTCCCGGTGACCCGGGCAGAAATGGACCTCCCTTCTCGGACCAGGCCGGAGCTCAGGCCCGGATACCAAGTAGGCCGATTCTCAGGTACGCCGTCGCGCGTTTGGAACTCTGGAGGTCAAAGAAAAAGGAAAGAAGGAAAAACGGGAAACCAATAGTAGCCCCGACCTGAAGAAACCACCCCGCAAGCACGCCTTCTCAGACGACGCTTCTTTTACGCCGCTCGTTCCTCAAATCAGAGTCACCAGGTCAGTCCCTACTGCCGGAAACTCAAAACACTCGTTTACCACGTCACATAAAGTCAAGATGGAGTTCGTTACCATCTTTTCCGTCCTGATAGGACATCTTGAATGGGCCAAGTTGATACGAAAACCTACTCGCTTTGTTGTGATGTCTGGAGGTGGGCAGCCATGTGACCGTCGATGACACCTCTCGCCGAACTGCTATGTGCCGCATACCCTAGTCTCCGGATCGGTGGACCTCTCGGCCGGACCGTCCAGGCATCTCTCCAGTCTCTCGGCGCCCACCTTTTGTGAGACAGGGTGGTAGAGAGCGGACGATGACGGGGCCGACAGGAGGCTGAGCCAGGCCACTACTGGCGATAGCGACCAGAACTACAGCCATTTGGAGTAATGCCATTCGAGGCGCCCGCACAATGGAGTGATGAGCTTGCGTTGCGTTGCTTCTTAGTGGTTGCGGTACGGAGATCAGCCATGATGTCCGAGTGGGGAACCATAGCCTATATCATTGCACCCTCGTCCGAACTCGGGTCAGCTTGACAGGGTCCAACCCAATGTCGCAATCCTAGAATGAGATGCAACGAGAGATGATCGAGTTTGAGAGCTAGACGCGTCCGTCAACCACCGTTCTACCGTGCCGGGTTCCGGGTCACGATGCGAGGCGCATAGGAAAATTATCGCTGAGAGGCGCAGCAGGTGCATTTCGACGTTTCCCGTTTGGGACATCCATTCGAGGAGGGCCCGTATCTCGGTTTGCTAGAAACGTGGTATTTGGATGTTTCCCGTTTGGGAAATGCATTCGAGGCGGCGATCCGGCAGGTCACGAAGAGTCTCCGCCGATATCCGTACTTTGAATCTTTTTCCGTTTGCCTGGTCGGCACGTTGACGTTCAGTGCGTGCAAGGCGTAGGTGTAGATGTAGGTGTAATAATCAAGTGTAGGTAACAGGAAGGATAAACGAAAGATTGATGGTTGAAGACACACACACGACTGGCACCTGGTATGATGGTATATGCGTCAAGTATCACCTGTCACCTGACACTTGACAGCTGGCTATCCCTTGCCGACTAGCGTTACGGTAGAGAACCGGGCGTTCGATCCCCACTTTACCGCACTCGCTTAGGTACGTACCTGCCACCGCTAAGAGAAGCTTGTTAATGGTACGGCGCCTTGGCGCGAACTTGGCCTTCTCGGCGTCTTCCCACGATCCATCTTACATGCACACACTCCCAAAGACAGCCAGAAGCCTGCCGTCAACCCTTAGTTTGTCTCCATTCCGCGTAAGCACGCAGCTCTTTGCGGGTCTTTACCGGAACTCGCCGGCGAGTGGACTCCCTTGGGAGTCTTTCTTCTTTGCTTCGCCCCAATCTGTATGGCTGGGTATACGGCCCTCCCTGTCTTCGCGATGGGCGGCCCTGTTGGGTATCTCCCTTCTATCTGGGGCGTTTTCGCGGATACATATATATGTGCCGTTTGTCCCCATGAATCCAAAATGTAAGTCTACAGACCATAGAATCAGCTTTGCCCTTCTCTCCTGGATATCGAGACTCTTGCACGTTGGCCAGAACTCCTCACCAATCATCCTTTAAGCTTCCACCACGACGGGCTTCCCTGACTGGGAGCATAAGAAACAGGTCTTCGTCTATATCAGTGCCTCGCATCTGCTCAGTCCACCACCATGGTAGTCATATACTTGGGAAAGAAGGTTTACCGGTCGATCAAGCGTTCGACATCGACGCCGGCAACCGAAAAAGGAACCTATCGTGATGACAATGGCTCAGCGACACAAGTCACAAAAGCGAGCGCGTCAACATGCGACCATCAACATGACCCTGCCACTGGGCCGTGTCCGACATGCAAGTCTGCCCGGCGAGCGCAACGCATATACAGATGCAGGCTCTTCGCCGGCCTGATACTCCCCTTCGTCTTACAAGCCCTGGACGTCACGATTGTGAGAGCCGACCGAGTACACACATACAGGTCTTCATCATGACTAACAAACAACGTATGATACAGATCGCAAGTGCACTGCCCTGGATCGCAGCCGACTTCCGTAAGCCCCCCCTCCCCCCCAAAGCTCCGTGGTGTCTTTCCTGCCGTCTAACCCAACGCACAGACGAGACCGGCCAGCTCAACTGGATCATCGCCGCCTTCAACCTCACGTCCGCGGCCTTCATCCCTTTCTGGGGCCAGATGGCCGACATCTTTGGGCGCCACGTCTCGATGCAGGCCTGTCTAGTGCTGATGCTCGTGGGCAGCGCGCTCTGCACCGGCGCGCCCGTCACCGCCTTCCCCGTCCTCCTGCTCGGTCGCGCATTCCAGGGCCTGGCCTGCGCCGGGCTGAACGTCCTGGTCCGCGTCATCCTCGCCGACAAGGTGACGCTGCGCGAGAATGCAATGAACTGGTCCATCTTCTCTTTTCTAGGCGGTGTCCTTGGATGGGGCCTCGGTCCTGTCGTGGGAGGTGAGTCGGCCCCGCGAAAGCTTGCTTCTGAGACGGCCTCGTCTTACCAAAAAACTTTAGGCTACATCACCAGCGGGTCGTCCTGGCGGTGGTGCTTCGGAATCAACCTGCCCATCGCGTTCGTCAGCATGCTCGCCATCTACTTCGTCCTCCGGTCGGAGCTCCTGGGCCCCCAGCCGATCCCCCAGCTCGACGAGACGACCGATACCGGCCGACGGACGACGTTCGTAAAACGTCTCCAGACGATCGACGTCGGGGGACAGGTCCTCTTCCTGTTCGGCCTCGGCTTGCTGATCCTCGGCCTGACGTGGGGCGGCGCGACGTACTCCTGGACGAGCCCCGCCGTTCTTGCGACGCTTATCCTCGGAGTCTTGATCAGCGTCTCCTTTGTCGCCTGGGAGTACCACATGGCCCCCGGCATGGCCCTGGCTCGCCGATTCCCGTGGCAGCAGGCCATGATTCCATGGGAGCTGGTCCGCAATAGGGACATCGGTCTCCTATTCTACACCTCGTTCGCCACCGGGATGGCCATGTACTCGGTGCTGTACTTCTGCAACATCTACTTCACGATAGTGAAGCTCAAGCCTGCGGATCAGGCCGGCGTGCAGCTGCTGTACTTCGCTCCGGGTCTGGGAGGTGAGTGCCCCCCCCCCTTCGTGCTCAACCGAGGAGCTTACTGACGGGTCGGTTCCCAGTTGGCGTTTACATGTCCACTTTCATGTGCAACGCGTGGCCGCGCAAGACGTTCCCGCCCATCTTCATCGGGTCCGTTCTCGAGATGATAGGCGTCGGGCTGCTGGCCTGGGCCATCAACACCGAGCACGACCCGACCGTCTACGGGATGATGGCCCTCACCGGGGTCGGCACCGGCCTACGCATGATGCCTGGTAAGTCTCTCGCGGGCCTCTCAGCCCTTGCCCATGAGCCACACGGCTAACTTTGGACAGTCCAGCTCCACGGTATCGGCTACTTCCCCAGGAAGATCGCGGCCGTCATCTCCCTCATGGCCGTCGCCTACCCCTTTGGCGGGACCCTCGGCCTGACCATCATGACGACCGTCTTCAACAACACGTCGGGGAACGGCGACGGCTTTGGAACGCTCAAGGGCCTCCCCAACGCGGTACAGCAACGCTTCATCCACGAGGCCAAGATGGGCGTCGTCTGGGCCTTTGTCGCCATCACCCCCTTTATGATTCTTGTGAGTCTGTTTGAAGACGCCGCGTCGCAGCAGGGAGCTAACATGGAGTGTGTCCGCAGTGCACTGTACTCGCTTCCTTGCTGGGCAACGTATACATCGGCAAGGCCGGCGACGGCGATGGCGAGCAGAGCAACGCCATATACGAGGGCGTCTACATCCTCAGCTGGTTCCGCAAGGGTGGTGCTGAGAAGAACATCAAGACCCGGGAGCACCAGCCGGACGAGGAGGCGACTTTGTAGCGAGCCAGGTCATTAGAGTAGAACGGTAGATGGATAGATGGAGACTTTTCCTTTGTTCCCGCCGGTTTATTTTTGGGTATTTTCTAATTGGGGTACGAGATCTGGGCGCACGTCGCGAGAGGAAGAAGCCAGGAGACTGCGTGCTGGTCCGCCGAGGGCAACGGTGGCCGGTGAAAAAGAAAGAAAGAAACAAAACAAAAAACACAACAACGCGGAAGTAAGCATGTAGATCATTCCAAGATACCCTAGGCAAAACAATCTCTCATTTGCGTCTCTCTCTTCGAGGACCAAGCGAAACGAAAACAAAGAAAACCGGCCTCACCCGGTGACGTATGCGGGACACGAACCTGGCCGGGGCTGAAAACAGGTCAACAATCAAACATGAGATGCTCTGATGTAAACCCGGTGCCCCCCCTACATGGTCGAAGCGACAAGGCGGCCAAGCTGTGGCTCGAGTAGGAAAGTGGGCTGTGTGTGCGTGTGTCCGGGCGTGCGTCGTCGTCACGGTGCGGCCGGCGGCCGGGGTTCCTCTTCGGACCTCGTCTCGTTCCTTCTCACGCCGCGCACCTCTGCGCCGCTTTCGCTCGATCCCACCCTCTCATTAAAAAAAAGGCCAGAACATGAGCTGCATTCCTTAGAGGGCGTCGCCAATTTTCTCACCCTGGGACCCCGCGGAATAGCGCGCCCATCCTCTTATTCCGCCACTGCCCGCCACCCCCCAAAATCCATTGCCTCATCTCCCATTTTCTTCGTCATGGACACCGAACCGGTCGCCGGAACCACCACCACCACCACCACCACCACCACCACCATCGTCGGCGCCGCCCCGCCCGACGACGACGACGACGACGAGGAGGAGGAGGAGACCCGCCCGGGCGGCGCGCGGACAACCTCGGCCCCCCGGTTCTGGATCGACTTCTCCCTCTTCGACGACGGCCTCGACGCCGCCGCCACTGCAGCAGCAGCAACAGCCGACACCCTTCCGCGCTTCCACCGCTTCCCGGACCTGCCCCCGGAGATCCGCATCAAGATCTGGTCCTACCTCGTCGCCCCCCGCGTGGTCGCCGCCTGCTGCTTCGAGCGCGACCACCGCCTGCCCGCCCGCTCCGTCCCCGCCCCCTGCGAGCCCTCTTCGTCGTCGTCGCCGCCAACGTGCCCGGTGGCGGCAACGGCGGCGGCGCCCATGGTCTTCAACCCCACCTGCCCCGTCCTCCTCCTCGTCTGCCGCGAGTCCCGCGCCCTGGGCCTCGCGCATTACGAGCTCGCCTTCTCCTGGCGCGTGTCGGCCCTTGCCGCCGCCGTCGCCCGCCCGCCCCGCGCCTGGTTCAACTTCCGCCTCGACGCCCTCTACCTCGCCGGCGCCCTCGACCCCCGCGACCGCTACGGCTTCGACACCCCCGTCGTCCGCTTCCTGCGCCCCCGCGACGCCCGCCGCGTCCGCCGCCTCGCCTGCGCCTTCTCCGCCCTGCGCTACCCCGAGCGCGGGCCCCGACCCGGCCTTCGGCTGCCTGTGGCACGTCGTCGACCGCTTCCCCCGCGCCCGCCGCCTCGTGCTCGCCGTCGCGCCCCGCGACGAGGAGGCCATGGGCCCGTGCCGGCCGCTGACCGTCGCCGCTGCCGCCGACGACAATGACGACGATGGCGACGACGACGACAGCAACGTCGTGCGGCAGGTCTGGGACGGCTGGGTCCGCGGCACGACCGTCACGACCGCCCGAGTCGCCGACACCCAGGTCCTGCTGGTCAGGGAGGCCGACCTGGCCGACGTAATGGCGTCCCACGCCCAGGAGGACGAGGGCGAGCGGAAGGGGAGGCCGAGGCGGGTCGCATTATGAACGCGCAAGCGGGGGAGGGGGGGGACGAAGGATTTGTTTCTGCATCGCAAGGGAGTTTCTGGCCAACTTTTGTTTCGCTTTTCTACCCCCTCCCGGGTTTTGTTATTTGTGGCATCTTCTTTTTCTTTCTTCAGGGTGAACCTATGGTACAAGTGTGGTTTTACATGGAATAGAGTAGAGAGACGGAGAGAGAGAGAGAGAGGGATTGATCTGTTAATGCTGCCCGCGCCCAATGATGATGAAGTCGGGTATGCCCCAATAACCAAAAACGCCGTTGCCGTTGCGCCCATTTTTTTGTTGTATTTTTCCCTCCCAGAAGCTCTCAAGACTAGCGTTATTAACGCCCCCCCGCCGCCAATCCTCGTCGACTGGCAATCCCCGCTCTTGGAAGAGCTCGGCTCATCCCTTCTTCCCCAGGCCCTCAAACGCAGGGCTGGGGCTGTCCCCTTGCCTCCGCATCCCGCCCAACAGCCAGTCCGTCAGCCCGACGACCTTGGCGCCAACGCCCTTCTCCCACTCGCCGCCCTCCTGCACCGTCTCGATCGTGTGGCTCAGGATCCGCCCCTCGGCGTCAAACTGGAACACGAACAGGCCCGTGAACGCCTTGTCTCCGCCCCCCGTCGTCGTCGTCGTCGTCGTCGTCGTCGCAGCCGCAGCCGCCGCCGCCGCCGCCGTCGTCGACCCGTTCTTCTTGCTGGTCGCGCACCACCGCACCACCAGCTGCTCGGGGATCGCGCCCGGGCGCAGCGGCGCGAAGTGGATGGGATGCTTCGTCACGCGCTCCGACATGATGGACAGCCGCACGTTGCCGACCAGGGGCAGGCGGTTCCAGGCGATCGGCGAGGTCCAGAGGGCGGCGGTGTAGGCGACGCGGCCCGAGACGGTCGGAAGGTGCGGGTGCGTCGTCGGGAAGAGGTGTAGCGAGATGTTGGGGGCGAGGATCTCCTGCGGGAGCGGGGACTGTAGGACCGACGGGAGGTGGTCTTGGAGGATTCGGAGGGCTGTCAACCGTGGGAGACTGCGCGTCAGCAAGGTCTGGTAAAGGAGAAGGAAGAAGGAGGAAATGGAGGAGGAGGAGGGTGGCACGCACTCTTGCCGAGGTTGGCCTTGTTCTCATCACCGGGCTTCTTGCCGGGACTCCCGCCGTTGCCGGAGAGGACCGTGTTGGAGGGATTGAAGTAGCGGTTCGAGGCATCGCGGTGCTTCGTTCCGTCGCGCGTCGGGACGAACAGAGGCGACAGCGGCGTCGATGCCACCACAGCGGCGGCAGCGGCGGCGGCGGGGACCGAGGTTCGGGCGGTGGCGGCGTTCGCGGTCGCGCTGGACCACAGCTGCGAGGTCAGCGGGGACGCCGCGGCGGAGCGGACGCCGGGAGACGTAGTGAGGCGCACAGCGGCCATGGGTCCTGGACAACCGGTCATCATAAATGATTTCGAGGGGGATGCATTGGGTATATATCGCGGACACGGAAGTAACAGGTTGAGGGTGTTGTTGAAGAAAAAAAAAAAAAACCATCCGGGGTGATAAGGCGGAAAGAGCTGATGTCAAGAAACCGTAGGTGACTTGACTACAGGGCAAGGAGCTCCAGCTGAGTTAGCCGGGGAAGGGGGTGTGGAGAAGGACCCGCGCGACCGGATGAGCTGTGCCCCACTTTGATATCGGGTCGGAGGAAATGGCCGAACTTTTGAACATTCGAGAAGGCCGTACCAAAAACCATGTCCAATTTGTGTACGGAAAACTCCCTTCCGCAGCTTATATAGAACGTTGATCGTATATGATACCTATCTAATAGTATGCTTTTTTCTTTCTTTCTTCGAGGCCCATGCCACGCCCTCGCAATAAACGCCAAATAACCCACACACAGGCTTTTCTCGTGATACACTCTCGAGGGTACTGTACTATACATACTGTGCCGCCCCCCCGGCCCCCCATCATCTCGGGTGAGGGAATTCGTCCTCGAGCTGCAACCGCACGCCGACGTTCATGCTGATGAGTTCTTGCACCAGAAGCTTGGCGGCGTACGGCATCGTCATCTGCGTCACCTCCCTGGTGCTCTTGCACGTGTGGCAGTACCCCTTGTAACCGAACAAGCCGCATTGTTGGCAAATGTCGATTTGTGTTCCGTCCGAGCTGATCATGAGACGCTCCAATAGCAGCTGAGAAGCTCCGTACGCGATCAGACAATCGCGCTCCATCTCACCCAGACGAAGACCGCCGTCGCGGGATCGTCCTTCCGTCGGCTGCCGCGTGAGGATGGCTCTGGGGCCCCGGGAACGAGAATGCATCTTGTCTTGAACCATGTGCTTTAGGCGCTGGTAGTAGATGGGCCCGTTGAAGATGTAGGCCTCCAACGGCTCTCCCGTGATGCCCGAGGTGAAGTAGTCTTTGCCCTCCCACGAGAAGCCGTGGTCAACCAGCGCAGCGCTCATCTGCTCCAGCGGATGCGACCGGAAAGCGTCGCCGAAACCGTAGTCTTTCCGCCCGTCCAGCACCGAAGCCTTTCCGGTCAAGCACTCGAGCAGCTTGCCGACAGTCATACGAGAGGGGAAACCGTGGGGGTTCATGATGATATCGGGGACCAGGCCCGTGTCCGAGAATGGTAGATCTTCCTGGTCGACGATGATGCCCACCACACCCTTTTGTCCGTGACGAGACGAGAACTTGTCTCCGAGCTCGGGCCTTCTTGTCTGTCTCGTCTGCACCTTGACCACCATCGTCTCCCTCTCCGTGTGGGAGACCATGACCTTGTCGATGTACGCGGGGTCCGCGATCCTGTACGAGATGGACGAGTCGCGGAATTCGCTGGGCCCGCGGTCCATGCCGATGCCCGTAGATCCCGTATCGAGCGGTGTTTCCTTCTTGATCATGACCTCGCCCGAGTTGACCTTGTAGCCCACGATCGCCAGGCCGTCGTCGTCCAGGGCCTCGTGCTTGGTCGTTCTTCCGTTCTCGTCGTTCACCGGGTCTCCGATACGCTCTCGTCGGCCGTTCGGGTACTTCTGCAGCTCGGCCGTGTATTTGCGGAACACTTGGCAACGCCCGAAACCGCGATCGCAAGACGCCTTGTTCAACACCAGGGCGTCCTCAATATCGTATCCAGAGTATGACATGACAATGACGGTTGCGTTCTGTCCGGCCGGGAGTTTGTCGTAGTTGACCAGCTGGATCGTCTTGGAAATGACCATTGGCCTTTGTGGATAGACGAGCGTGTAGAGCAACGTGTCGATACGGTTGAACTGGTTGTATGCAATCGCGCCGATGGCTTGCTTACCCATGGCACACTGGTAAGTGTTTCGGGGAGACTGGTTGTGGTGCGGGAAAGGGATGAGACCGGCAACCGCACCGAGGACGGTGAATGGCTCGATCTCCATGTGGGTGGTGAGGGGGGTGACGTCCTTTTCGTACAGGGCCACAAGGGTGTCGTTCTCCTCGTTGACGTCGAGATACTCGACGATGCCGTGGGTCAGAAAGTCGTCAAAAGTGGCCCTGCCGAGCTGCAGCAGGCGCAGGTGCTCTTCCTTGAGCTTGGGCTTGCCGTTCCTGACAATGATATAGGGCCGGCAAATGCGTCCCTCGTCAGTCGCGATGTGAACAGCGTTGAAGTGATTGTTGATATGGATGCTGACGAAGGGAGAGATCCAGCCGCGTCTCCGCATCGTCCTGAACTTGCCGGCAAACCGTTTCGGGTATCTCGTGAGTGCAAAGGGCGTTCCGTTGATGTGAATGACGTACGAGGTCTCGCGGTGCATCTCGCCGCCTGAGAAGTTTCTGATGGGTTCGACGCCAGCATCAAGGGTAAAGACCCATCGCTTGACGGGCGCCTCCTCGACGTTGGTCGTGATGTGTGTCATGAGCGCCAAGTTCTTGACCAAACCGCAGGCTTCACCTTCGGGCGTGTCCGAAGTACACAGCATACCCCACTGGGATGGCTGAAGCGCACGAGGGCCACTGACTTTGCGGGTCTTTTCGAACTGGGAGCTGATTCTCGTCATCATGCCGAGTGCGCTGATGTAACTGAGACGACTGAGGACGTGGGTGACGCCGGCTCGGTTCATGTTGAAACGCTTGACAGTCCAGTTGCCCGTCTGGATTGCGCGGTTGATGCCCTGGCCGATCATGTTGGCATGATTGCTAATCATGTTGACAGCATCGAGAGGGACGGCTCGGTTGTCCTTTTTCAAGACCTTGTCGATGCTGCTCTTGACGTTGCCGCAGAACTGCTTGAACAAATCTTCGAAAAGCAGAGAGAGAAGCTGGCCAGCCAACTCGAGACGCTTGTTTCCAACAAAGTCGCGATCGTCGACAAGACTGGGGTCGTTCTGCGCCATGAGAACACGGCGTGTCATGAATGCCACGTAGATTGCCTTTGGGTAGAAGTCCAGACCCTCGATGGGGACGTGGGCGATGATGAGGTTTGCCAAGGCGTCGAGGGCCTCCTCGACGTGGTTCCGTCGTACCTGGGCCGCGAAGGGGACTCTGCTCTTACCCATCTTCACCCTCGCGCCAATGTATTCCAGCGCTTGTTGCTGGGTGTAGACGCCGGCCTTGGTTGCTTCCTCGAACTGGACGAGGAATTCGTCCTGGTATTTCCCGTTGTCGCCGGCCACGAGCTGCATGATTTCGTAATCCGTCAAGCCTCCCAGCGCCTTGAGGATGATGACAATCGGGATGCCCTCGACCAAGATGTTGGCCGTCAGGAGAATCCGGTCCTTCTTGAGCGTCACGTACGTCTTGGACTTGCGCTCGTGAGTCGAACTGGTTACTGAGGCTGTGATGACGCTGTTCTTCTCGTCGGCTTCGACGATGACACGGTTCTTGCTGAGCTGTTCCTGGATGAGAATGACCTTTTCCGTGCCGTTGATGATGAAGTAACCGCCGGGGTCCAAGGGACACTCGTTCATGCGTGACATTTCTGCGTTGTTGGCCCCGCCAAGTCTGCAGATGGAGCTCTTCAGCATGACGGGCAGGCGGCCAAGCGGGACATTCTTGCGCACAATCTTGGACTTGTCACGGATGTAGGCGATATCCACCATGATGGGTGCGGCGTATGTCATGTCGCGCAGGCGACATTCCATCGGCGTGACTTCATTCTGGGCCCTGATGTCGTTGAAGTCGACGCGACTGGGCCGCTCGACTCTGATATCAGTGAACCTGAGAGGAAATTAGAAAAGTGACCCATGAGGCGAGGGGTGTATGTGTGTGAGATAGAGAGAGATCTTCGCAACGTACTCGAGCCAGAAGGAGCTGTTGACGTCGCTCCGGATAATGCGGTTGGCACGGACAATCTCCTTGATCTCATTCTCGACAAAGAAGTTGTAAGAGTCGATGTGCTGCTTGACGAGACCCTTGACCTTGAGGAAGGCGGGCAGCAGCTGAAATTTGTCTTCCTTTGTCGAGATGGGATCTGTGAGCTTCTTTCCGTTGTAGAAAGGCTCCAGGAGAGCCTCGAAGCCGTCGTCTTGCATGTTCGTCACCGTATGTCTGCCACTCTCATCATGTGTCGGAACGGGTCGGCAACGCAGGAGAGGATCTACCGCAGAATTTTGTGACTGCAGTCGGTCGAGTCACATCGTGAGTCTGAACAGAAGGTGGCGGGCAGCGAAAAGTTTGGCCCCGCGATACCGGGTGGCGCCAGCTGCCCCACCGGTGCTCGGTGACCTTTGCCTGAGTGTTTGGCATTTCTTAGTCAGCAAAGGGCGGAAAGCCAGAACTGCAATGATTCAAATACCTCGGTCGGTAGATGGGTAGGCAGGGAAGGGTAGGAAGAGAGCGAAGAAGAGCATCAAGTTATCGTTGGTTCTCATAATGTTCCACGCGAGTTGCTGTTTTCTGCTGTCGCTCTATACAGACAGTTTATGAACAGAGCAGCTCACGCTGGAAGCGGGATGCTGGCAGCATCAATCGTCTGCCAGTGCCAGTCTTGTCAGCGGGGCAGATGTCGATAAGTCCGATAAGACGTTCTTGGGATGGCGACGAGAGTGACAAGCATGACGAAGCCTCAGGTGAAGTTTCGTGTGCAGGCAGTTCATCCCAACCTGGTGACCGGCTTACCAACAACCTAGTCCCCAGGCCAGTTAGCCACAGCTTATTTGACTCAAGCATCAACGGGATTATAAGAAGCAACTGGTGGTGCTCTGTACATGCTGGTCTGCTCATGAGAGGTTAGGTAGTTCAAGGTGGCATAACGGTTCATAAACCTCCATTGTTGTATTGAGTCGCATGACGGTCAGCCCGACATCACTCCACTTCTGGGTCCTGGAGTATGTGGCCCAAATATATCACTGATATTGATAAGAGCCCGTGAGCCTGGACCTTGGGCCCGTGTCTACCTACGTCGTGCGACACATTATCAGGAACAACGGAACCAACTTAGGCTTGAGTATCCAAAAGAGACAAATCC